TGGGCATGGTGACCGATTCATCGATCCATCTTGGTGTGATTCGCTTCCTTAGCGGACCGACAGAGGTCAGTTAACTCGGGGTTACTTCATTCGTATCTATGACGCACACTCGATCAACGATGATGAACATAACGTTCCTGGGTGGAACGGGTGTGTGGGGGAGGCGGGGGTAGAACGACCCACCGCGATGCACCCACCGCCCTCTCGAAACATTCAACCTTGCTCCGTAACTCGCGAAAAATGTACTTTTGTTTGTTTACCGATAAACTAGTTCATTCGAACTGGAGGGGGTTTAGACAGACCCGGTCCAATTGGTTACATTTGACGGCCAAAACACGAATCATCCTGTCGGGGTTTCTAATGGAGTGCGATTGGTTGGATTCACCTGAAGTTGAAAAGGTATAAATTGCGAGACCGAACTTGTCTGGACCATCCCGTTTTGATTCTTTTCAGCGGTCGGAACGCTTTGGTCACGTTTAGAATGTAATTAGTTCTACGAGATGCGAAACGACCGCACTTGTGATTGTCTTAGTTACTCCACGTCGCTGCAGGATGATGCTCACGGATGAGGTCGGGCAAACTCCTGGTCCTGTGATCAGCATACTATGACCCATGGGTGGAAGTGAAAAAGTAAATACAGACAGTCAGCATTCTATTCTTCAACCGCAGATACACCTACGGGCTTGATGTGAATCGAGCCCGAAGCTTGGCTGCGTGGAACGTTTTGCTGATGGCATTTGATTATCTCCTATGCACAATCTCTGCCAAGGGGTCGCCTTTTAATTTTAAGGAAATATACACAGACTTCTTCTCATCAATAGCCTACTTGGGAGACGCCTCTTGTGGTTGCATCACAGATTTCACTGAGCGCTACGGGTATCCATTCTGAATGAAGATTTTCTGCAGACTTTGGAGGTCTTCAATCAGCATATCCTTCGTACAAATTCCTCTAGCTTCATTGGCCAAACCGAGTATGAGATTCTTTTTCATACTGAGTGGTACGAAGCTACGGAAATGAATACACTGCCCATTCCAATTCGCCTTCCTGTTTACTGATCGCCTGATGGACCCGTCATCACAAGGAGTTAGGAAAACATCTAAATATGCTAGTTAGTTGTTTGCTTCTTTTTCAATCGTGACTTTCAAATTCCGATGCGCAGCATTGAAAAGATCCAGTATATGTCGGCATTCCGTTGTAGAATCGACTGCACACAAAATATCGTCTACGTAATATTTGTAAAGTAAGCATTGTTTGATGTGTTTTAAGCGGGCCGTTTTCTATTTCAACCATGAAAACATCAGCAAACGAGGGCCCTAGCGGGGACTCCATTGCATCTTGGTTTAAGAGAATGTTTTCAGCGTACACGAAGTTCGAAAGGAGAATCTCAAACTTGATGGACCCAATCAGAGTATGTAGTACCCAGCAGTCTTGAGATTTTTATACACACGTTCTGTTCTCGGTAGCAGTTGCCTCACAAAGCTGAGGAAACAGCCATCCCATGGAGCCTAACTTATTTGACATTTAGAGCAAGTACCCTATTGGAATAAAAGACAAGCGGTTGAATGATGACAAGAGGTGCGTATTTCGGATCTGACAATACAAAACTACCTGTCAGAGCAGTTTCCTTTTAGATTCTCGTAAGATTTTAGGAGAGAAGTTGACAGCCAAGTACCTTGCTTTGCTCGATATCACCGCAGTATATTATGTGCAACTACACGTAAGAAAGTTTTGTTGATGGTCTAGACAGATGAACTTTACAAGATGTGCTTACGTACTTCTTGTTCGTATTCCTTCAGAAAATCGTTTACATTCTCTTGAATTCTTTCGGCCTGAAAAATACGGATAAAAACAGGGGTCATCTGTGAACTCAGGCTTTAACAAGGGTTATCTCAAGTGTTTGATATCATTATAAGTCTAGATGAGTGTCTTAAAGTATGGTACTTGGCATTCTCAATTTAATGGATCGAGTTCCGTACACTATATACTTTCTCTTTCACACTTACAATGGTTGATTTTTCGTTCTCCAATACAATTGTGCTTGAACTGAATCTTTATAAGAACGACTGTTTCTAATCTTACTGGATGCGCTTAACATATGAAGAAGCCGGACGAGTTCTGGTATAGCCAAAATGTGCTAAGAGTGGACAGTTAGCTGCAAAAGTGATGGATCAATGCCGGCCAGTTACTGCCAGCGATTGTTATTAAGAAATTATGGTCAATCGGGAACGGATCAATCATAAATTCTCTTTGTGAGTTTGAACGGATATTGTTAAAACCAAAATTTTGAATGGTAAAAGTCGTCAACTCGATTTGAGAACCCAAATTGAAACCAGTAAAGGACGATTATTCGAGGTCTTTATCAAAGACTAAGCACACAATTAATGCGGCTTTGCAGTGTGAACTCTTCCGAGCAATCGCTGTTAGCACTGAGTAAAGTAGTGCTAATTAGTAACCTCTACTTCTATGCGAAGACTTTGATACTGTGAAAACGATCTATCTTTCCGCTGAGACCATGTGTACCTTTGATATTATTTGGGTTATTGGGTAGCATAATACGACAGCAAATTTTCTTGCATTATGATGTGTTAAATAATTGCCAGTCTTTTTGAAAACGGTAAAGAAAGCAACAACTGCACACTTGGCCCCTTGTAGTCCATAAATATTGGGGTTAGGAATGCCACCCGCAAAGAATGTTCAACGTTTAAATATTTCCGGTTTTGAATGTTCAAAATAAATAAAACTCCTATTAGAAGCAATTGACCGGTTTTGCGGTAATTGCTGATCCTCGGGTATACTGAACTTGGTCAATGACCTGCAATTATATCTTACACAGCACCACAGATACCTGGCTACAACTAGATCTAAATTTACTCCTCATATTTGAACAGCATGTTATATAATTGTTATCGTGATGATTAAGTGTCTCTAGTACTGGACTGAACCTGTGAGATCATTATAAGATAGAAATTCAAATTCATTAAATCGGGTGACATGGAGATTTCTGAGCATTGGTTATCCATTTGTGTGAATTCCAATCAGATGCATCACAATCTGCTGAGGAATAACAATTCTGTCATCACTTACCAGCTCCGTATAGAATTGGTGAACCTTGTCAGTTGTAGTAATCTGTAACATATTTTTCAATCCACCCACAACATCCACCGGCTTGGTCTCGCTGCTCAAATAGCCGGCTACACCCGGATGTTCACTTTGTGTGTCGTCCCCGAGACGCCAACGTGGTCTGGCTACTACGTGATTCGCTTGCACTTGTTTGATATCCCCCAATTCCAAGGTTGCTTTTAGATCAAAATCAGGTCGGTCACGACTCTGAAAGACTACACGAATGCCATGGTGTGCCACAACAAGCCAATGGCAATCGTTGACTGATATGGGGTTGTCCAAATACTGTATTTAGAGGAACGAAAATCAAACGAGAATAGATCAATGAAATTTGTAAAGTAATATCAATGGATGAAAGCACGTGATTAAAGTACAATCATGCTAGTTCATTATGTTCCAACAGGGTTGATTCCATTGTTAGTACCATTTGAGTAACAAATTTAGAGCATAACGATTGATATGAAACTGAAAAATAACAATTATTCCTCTATGGACTTGAAAAGGCCATTTACAGTCACGTGAAATTTCGCACCGAATGGAGAAAAACACGCAAGATTACGGTGTACGCAATATAAGCGGTTACCGTCTGAATAGCCAACCATGTATCATATACAAACGCCTCCTTCGATGAAATTGAACTTCTTCTACCGAACAATCAAGAAATGGCTCAATAACCATCGCGGTGATTGGGAAGAAAGCCTATCGGAAATCCTACGAGATCATATACGGTAGATAACCCAGAACTTCTCTGGATGCGTTTCTCGGAAGATCTAGAAAACAACGTTCCACAAAAGAGCGAGACAAGCTGGAGAGAGTAGCGGTTTAGCGAACCAGGCAGACCCAGCCCCGCAACAAGGTAAGGTACGACAAAGAACACCGATCACAAAAGTGGCAGCCGTTCGTACCGGGACAGCTGGTAAAAGTTAAGAATCAAGGCAGACCCGAAACAACAGGACCGGGGCCGAAAATTTCAAGTAGAGGTGGATGGGGCCATTCACTGTTCTGTTCCACCGAATACCACAACGTCGGAGCTGTCGATCAACGTATCTCGCGCTACGATTGGGTCAAACTGGTCGGAACGGCACGCGGAAGAAGAGGCAACGTAGGTGCCAGATGGTGACCAAAACCAACAGGGATTGACCAACAGAATGAGACACGAATCATCCAACCGCGCGGTTAAGAATTGAATATATATAATTGAACGCGTACACCGATTGTTTTTGGAATTGGATCAATAAACGTTTTCCCAGCCAGGTCACCTTCTGGTTACATGATTAGCTGAGGCGATTCGACCTCACAGCAGAGTAAGCTATTGTGATGGGAGTGTGCGTGATGGTAGGTAGTATCGGTAAATCAATCAAAAACACGATAGGCATTTGACAGTTGTAAACCACTGCAGTTTTTATCGATCATCAAGGTTCGTTTCATTGTATGCGGCTGCACAATGTAAGTGATCAAAAGTGTAGCTTTTTAATAACCAATTTGAATCTGATGTAATTAGTGGAAGACCAGTAACGGTACTGAAGAAATCGGTTAGGCTATCGCTAATCTTATCATGTTACTGTGTGTTAGCAACTGTTTCTCGTTCCCCCACAGGAATAAAGGCGAACAGCCATCTTTGAGCATACTCCCACATAACACCAGGTAGAATGAGAATATGACAAGCAACTAGGTTCAGTGATTCTGCACACTTTTTTCCTCTCCAGAAGATGTTTAATTTATTCTATTTGGCTAGAAAATTTGTCAGAATTAGTCAGGGTTTCACATATTTCGGATACATGATACCATTGCCTTGACTCTGCTGATTATCACTATCAAAACTACTGCTCTTTCGACTATCTTATCGATATTGTATAAGTTAATTCCTTAAGTGAGGCTCCATTCGGGTAGATTCAAGTTCATTCCGAACCTGACAGTGAACCTCGTTTTCTGAGCTAATCTGAAAATTTAGCAGAAATAGACAGGGCTTGACAAGGTTGAGGGCCAGCCCCAAGAGTAGTATGAAGCATGAATTATATGGGGAAAATCAACTTCAAACATGATGCAATCGCCCGTTTTAAAATGGCTCATAGAAGAACTGAAAATCTGATCTGAAGGGTTTAGATAAATGGTATGAGCATTGGTGACCGATTAGGACTTACCAATATTGGATAAAAGCGGCCGAAATAAAACGGAAATTTAAGAGACTGCTGAACCACTTGCTTCTTCACCTCTAAAGGAATAGATTTGAGGGACTCCGGCCATTTTGAGAGGTAACGATCACCTGGATTAGGAAGAGAATGGTGAACTCACGGCAGTGAAAACCTTCTATACAACACACTTGCTAAGATTAAGCTTCTAAAATACTCAGAAAGTTCTTCTGGAAAAAAATCAAAATTTTTATCCTATATCATCGTAGATGCAAGTGTTTCACTTTTAATTATCAGAAGAAAATAGTTGGTAAACGCGATATATAAATGTACATATAATCAGAAACTTACCAACCATATCAAGTATCATTTGTCTGTCAGCACTCCGAAGACGAGGGTTAACATAATCTTTGGCATCGCTGACGACTTGAGCGAAGACAAGCGTGAGGACTAGACTTGATCGAATGCGTTCCTTTGGACTGATAAACTGAGTGAAATGTGGAAAATGCGGAAAGTTATCGTAAGCGAACGCGTAACTGGTCATTTCCCAAGGAGTATCAGAAAAGACGCGTACTCCTTGTTGAGGCACTTAGCGTTTCTGAACAGACTTACATCATTATCATACGAATCTTTGAAAAGATTATTGTTGAAACATTTAGTTCCAACCAATTTTACCGCTGCTGAGCTAGCCAAAGTTCATTCACTCACACGTAATGCAAGCCATACGTGAGTTCATTTTCCAGCTGCAAACTCAAGCGTCGCGTAGTGCTTCGGTGATCAATTGGAGATCCAGGTAGGTTGCAAGCTTTTCTGGATGGTTTGAGTGTTGGTGTAATCATGTTTGGTATACCTTTTGCACCTTCAAAGTGTAAAATTCTACTCCAAGATTGGTTTGGCCCAGTCTCCAACGTTGGTTGGGACATGTGTTACGTATGTCGTCAGATAGGTTGCCGCGGCGAACGATGTTTGCCAAGGCTGGTAGCGATTGGAAAAAGATAAAGGGTGGTCAAACTAAGACCTGGCATGAGGGCATGAAAACCCTAACCAGGAGACTAGGTCACATAGGCCCCGTTAGACTCCATGGCTGGGGACCTCGGGATGATGGTCACCGATGGTTAGCTACAATGAGTGATATGGCTGGGTGTCGCAAACAGTGGCGCTCGTGCATCCACTCGTTATTTTCCTAACACTACTCTGTATGTATTCCCCATCTTCTGTTTGAATTTGCTTCGACATTCCAATCTTCATTTCGCTCTTCTATCCAAATGGGCAACTAATAGACAGTAACCAAAACCGGCGCACGAAAGTGCATGGTTAATCGTTGTAAAAACTGAAACTGAGAGTGAATTGTTCTGAACTTCAAGAAAAGCTCTCACTCTTGCATGATTTCAGTCGACAAAGACGGTTTGTGAATAATTTCAAGACGTTCGTGCCATTGTTAGCCAGGAACCTAATGTTTTGTTCGATACCGGTCATTCTAATCGGCCATCATCTTGACAAAAATTGTTCCAAGGCAATGGATGTATGAAAATGACTCCATGATTTTGGTGATGAAGTGGGAAGGAAACAAGTGAACTGTGGTTCGTTTGAACTTCTTGTCGTCGAAAGAGAATTACCTGATCATTCTTTTGTGTTTTCTGGGTCAATCCGTCCTACAATGATTCGGTTGGGTCTGAAATAAACACCGTACGCCTTTTTTCACATTTCAGATGGCCAGTTGGTGCTTCACAAATTGAGGCGCTTTAATTCTGAGCAGGTATCCCGAAAGCTCTAAGCTGCTACTTTTAGCTAGACCAAATTCGACTTGCCTTCTTTGAAAATTCTGAGACCTATGGGTTTGGGTTTTTCAACTAAAGGCAAACAGTTCTGTTCTATATACGCACGTGATTCAGAGAGGGATTAGGTTTATGAGTTTTGCTCAGTCGTAAGGATTTTGGGAATGCATGACTGAGGCACGTCTCACACTTTACTCCAGGGCGCTTCAAAAGGGGGTTGACAAATCTGTGCTGCATGGCGGTGTTGTGAGGTTCTACTCACAATTGTGAGTAGTATGCAAAATTGTGCGGTTGGTGGTTTCCTTCAACAATCAGGAATTAACAAGACTACCGAGGGTTTCTGAAAGAATAACTACCGATTGCTCCATTCATTACCCAATGTGCTGCCGGTAATCGCGATGATATGTTTTCAATGAGATTTCTGTTATATGTATGCTAAATTAGTGATATTCTAACTGTGGTCAGCAATAAACAACTTTCCTCGAGCCAGCACCGCCTTCTGGAATTATAACAGCGGTCATCCAGACAGCCCTAAGAGGTTTAAACTACTTAGCGCTGATGAGGTCATCAGGACAAATTGAAATGACACCGAAAAAGCTTCAACAGGTACTCGACAATTCGAAGCACAAACGAACCTCAATTAAATTTTGAATTTTCACCCAGTAGTGTGTCGTCTAGCTTTTAAGGCACTTGGCAATCAGCAACTTGTCTGCTGAAATGCACGGTTTCAAATGTGGCACACGTGATAGGAATGAATATTAAATGGAAAAGAATATTAAATCACACGAACAAAAATTTGATCATTAGCACGTTAATCTAAGTTACTATCTAAGTTACCACCTGCGTGATTTCGTTTTGGTGAACACCAATTTTGAGTATCAAATATTGTTTGCAACCCCTTACCTCTTTTCTCAACTGGATTGAACAACCTGGCCGTTCGTATGTGTAGTACCGCATCTCATGTGGCAATGCCGTGGTTGATTTTCGCGTTCCGGTCACATCTGGAGGAAGTGGAGAGTCGGGTGGGGCACCTGCAACACGAGCATCCGCTGCAATATCTGTCGGTGATTTCGGTCTGGGGAAGAATGGAGATTCAGAAGCGCGCCACATTCTTTGACGTCTGCTGTGGGCTCGTCTGAGTGTGGACTCAGATCTAGATACTTCACCAAAACGTTTGAGTGCCATTTTTCGTATTGCTTTACCCCAACTACCTCGCAAGTTGGATGGGCTTCCACTTGTGGGATTGATCGGAGGTTTCGCAATCACAACTCGATTTCGATTGTCCTAGAAGATGCCAATAAATAACAGAAAGGAGTTGCTATAAGTCGCTTAAACTATTATCAGCTCTTTCAGTTACGAATCAACCATATCGAGGTCAAGAGCGGATTTCTAAAGAGGGAAACAGCTTCAAATGTTGTGTGATTTATTCCGATCGAAAAGTCAGTATTACTATTCAGGCCTTCACAATTGGCTCAGAAGAGGAATAAAGACAAACTGCAGGCGTTTTGATAGTTCTCATTCAGAAAAGAAATGAAAGTATTCAAATTTTGCTTCTTATTGGAGCTTCAGTGACAACAAGTTTTAAGTTAAGAGTATCAGATAGCGACATCTGTCTTATTGATTCTTTACGCTTACGCTTGATTCATTTCTAATGTATTATTCTGACGCCTTTTACGATTGTCATGTAGCCTCTTGTGAAACCTAATAGTGACAGACATTTGTGCATTATTACCGTGTTTTACTCGGTATTGTTTTATCTCTTCTTGATGCAACCCAAAGACCATAGAACTTCGATCTTGAAGACTGACTGCCTACAGGTGCTTGGTGGTTGGAACCCAAACCCTTTTCAATCAAGGCTCATCTCCACACCAACCCATCATTCGGTTGAGTGTACTCTCACTCTACTGTCAACTGTCACCTTGCATTACTCGGCGTGACTCTACGAGCACATTTTGAAGTTTGTCGCAGCTCTTAGAGTTACTTCTTTATGCTTACTTTAATTAATGTCCCATTCAATCATATGCTGCCACGTGATTACATTTGTTTTATCAGCTACTTCATAACTGGCCAATGCTTGCCAAGTTTAATGTTGTCCTGTGCGATTAATGCAGTGTGAAAACAGGATTTTATTCGTTATTGATCCTCTCGGCTGCTAATCATAATTATTATTGCGTAATATCAAACATGCACAATGAAGAAAACAAAACCGTACTTTTTTTAGCTGTCAAGTATTTCAGTCACCATATGTTTCCGCTGAGTCACTCACAATTGTGATTAATCATTGATGCATTCGATAATGTACATCAACGATGAGCCGAGATTTTGATCAATGGGCTTGCGTCTCTTGTCAAAGCTAAAATTCTGAACATTCCATAAATATCACAATGCATGAATAAAACATAGTCCGGTTTTCTCTTTTTCTGTTTTGACCTTCTGGCTGTACCTGAGGCCTCCATTGGCAAAACTGGCTAAAATATGTCTACTTGATTTCGACTACGAGCAACGTGTTCCCTCAATCACAGGGTTTTGATGGGAAACTTATACGTTTTCCCACGAGCCAACTGAATGCAGAAATCCCGTATCTTCATTTTGGTGTGATTCATTAAATTCCCTTCAATTTGCCCTGAAATTAGATGACTACGACGATGACGACGATGATGGTGACGATTATGATGATCATGAGGAGAATAATGATGAGTGCAAACAAGGCAGGTTGTGCGATACATATATTTTATCCGTGTCGAAATTCGTCTGCATGCCGCAGTTACCACGCGTGTTTGTTTGCGAGAAACATTATCACTAAGCTCCACTGAGTAGATTCTTCGGTTGGTGTTACCTCAGCATTTATAGATTTAGGGTTGAATACCATCTGTTAGATCAACTTATTGTTGAACGTTTACAATAGTGGTACTAAGCGGTCAAACTCGAAGGACTATGCTGATTGGGTGCTGTAGAACGCAGTGTAATGCGAGTTCAGTGAATAGACTTAGGTTGATAATTTGAATGCTCTCGTATGAGGTTTAAAACCTTTCATAATATGGTTACAATGGTCATGGGTTTGCGGTGTAAATTATTTCGAAAAGGGGGTTAGTCCAAGTGGTAGAAAGCCATTTGAAAATCGGGGATTAACTTTAGTCATCCAACCATTCGAGATCCAAATATTACCGTTCTTTGGTTAAATAAATTACCCGGGCGGAAAAGTTAGAACCACTGTGAAATTTTGTGCCGTTAATCAAAAAAGATACCGATATCACCTTTAAGCTATGATTCACTTAGAAAAACTAAGTCGATGACTAGAACAGTTAGTTGTGGGATTTAGTGTGAGAATGACTTTAAAATCATTATCCCTTGGAAATGATTGACTTTTGTGTGCAAAAACATCTTTTTGTTTGTACTAACTTTTGTATCACATGCATTTTATTAAATTACATCTTTTGTGATCAAGAACGATTGCAGAATACTTATAATGAACATGTCAGTTAGCTAGGTATATTTCAATATAAATGATTGTTTGAGTCAAATGAATTATTTTTCTCTCTACGTGTTTCCGAGGCTCATTTTACGAAACCACCGAGGTCGGAATCGAACCCGACACTTAAATCACATTCAATGAGGACACTTTAGTACTCCTAAACCTCTTCTTATCATCCAATATATGATCCTCTGTTGATAGGCTTTGTTCATTTAATGTTCAGTTAATGTAGCTATGTTATACATGCTCCCGTCTTGGATCGCCACTATCATTTTTGTGAGTAAGTCGTCTGTAAATGGACTATCAGTGTTCATTCTTGAGCGTTCAGATTAGTGATATACGAAGAATGCATGGCATATTAGCTTATCACAAAGCATTTCAATTAAATAGATACTTAAGATTTTGCATGGTGATAATACTAAGCATTTCACACATCCTTCTTCCTCACTCTGTTCTTTCCGAACGCAGATGCGTGCTACCATTCCGTCGGATGACAACTTCGGGTGTTATTATTGTGCTGTTTTGTAAAAACAATGCTTGTTTAGAACGTGTCACAGTATTTCCGTTTCTACTATTTGGATTCAAAATAAAACTGACTGACAGCTTCAAGGATTCTGATCGAGAATGACAATATGCCAAATGCCAACTATCCCAATGAATGGTGCATACAATTCTGACTGCGTTAGACTCGTCAACCACGTTGACTGCACCTGTACTGGTCAATGCTCAAACAGAATGCATGAATACATTAATCTAATGGCAATGCACAGAACAAAAAACTGCTCAGAGCTTGAATAGACATAGACCTTGCATTCAGTGCTCTCGTTAATGAAGGAAAGAATTTCTATAATATATGTTTACACGACGATTATAGACAAGGTGGGAAAAGCATTTAAACGTTGAGCAAAACTGGGTTCTTGAACGCACGTTCATTTCAATTCCGTGAATTGTTTTTGCTAAAGTTTTCCCGTCCAATCCGGGCACATATGCGGGCTTTTGTATTCCGTTTCTCCGGTTTGCGTACATCCATTCACTTTTGAAATGGCCACGGGGAAAGCAAGCAAGAGGATAAATTTGAATTCGAAGGTGTAACTGCTCACGAGAGGATTGAGAACAACAATATGCTTGCCAAGCTCGGTGAACAACTGAATATCAGATTATACTATCCTAACTACAAAAACAACAATCAACACCGTTGTTTAAAAAACTATCATATATATATATATTTATATATACATTTATTGCAATCAATATTACACGAATGACTTGATAAAATTACCCTGGAAATACACGATCGGTTTCGTGATTCCTTCCTCTGAATTATTCTCCAAATATGCCTAAGTCACAGCATTCCCAAAGCTGACTCTGTTAAATACCTCGCTGTCGTTCTATCTCACAACCTCTTCTGGACTAGCCATGTACAGAATGCTTTCGTAAAATGTTTCATAAGTCCAAGATAACTATCCGAACAAATATACACGGCGTTGTAAATTAGATAGATCCTTCAAAAATATGATACAGAAAATTAACAAATTAAATGAGCGGACTGCTTTTTGATGGTCAGTCTAGTACAAAAACTCCACACATGAAGATTGACAATATTCAATGTGTGCAAAACGATATCCCTAAATCGGTACGTATTCTCTTAGCAAGCGTTTGTTTTTGAATGCACGGGATCGCTTTTATCGAGGCGCCAGTTGCCGCTAAAAATCCCTTAAACCATTAGGATTGAAGAAACTGTGTGAAGATCTATACGGAAATTAAAATAATTGCTGCACGGGATAGAGAATATAACGATCGCCTATAAAGGTTGGTTTAGAAAGGAGCACAATATTATAACATTTGTATAGAAATAAACTTTGATTTCCCTGTATTGTTATTATATATATATATATATATATATAAAGTTTAAGGGATTTCGAAAGCCCTTACTTTCATTTTGCACTGCCAATTAGATTTATTTCTAACCAGTAGAGACTTTATGAAAATAATGACACTACCATGGTTATTGAGTAATTATTAAATTGGAAAACCAATACAATTGAACCTTACTTGTTATTGCTTGCATACGATGCTCTCGATAGATCATCAAAATGTGGTTGTGCTCTAGCTGCATCATATGCATACGTGGGAAACACATGATCAGGCAATATTCGGTTAAGGTGACTCCATATAGGAGGCAACTCAAAAGCACTGAACACGTCCATAACATAACAGTAGCCTGGCAGATCCAGGATAAACGTTGACGTCATAAAACACAGCGTCCATCCTGGTAGGGCGTGAACAGCTCGAGCACTGAAAACAACCAAAACAAAAACGTTGTAAAAGACGGGAAATATACGACCAAACCGCAGACCGGAAACTAACGGACTATTAGTGACCTGAAGTTTATTTTAATCTGAATCGATAAACAAAATAACTAAAGTTTAGGCTTTTGTGAAAATAGAATGTGAAGTGAATCTTTAGACTATCTCAATTTATTTTAGCGACTTTTCTTTTTTGTCGGCAATATACGACAATATTTTGCGCCATAGGCGAAACATTGTAGAGTCAGTATTTTCCAAATCGAGGGGTTAGATATTTTTATTGAGTCACAGCAGTAGCTAATTTACTCACATCTGTTAAGCCAATCTCAACAGGAAGTTGAAATGTGCTATGTTGATCAGAGTGGCTATCGTCCGAGACAGCTATGTATCCTTGGAAACATTATTAGAAGACTTTTCGCGGAATAAACTGGAGAGGAAGGCGACAAATGGCTAGAATCTGAATAGGCATTTGGGTGTTTCCTAAGATTGTTTGGCAACTCCTCTTCTTCAAAGATGCTAGAATTTACAAAAAAATCTGCAACTTCTCATGTCTGCATGTTATATTGCATAACAACTAAGTGTGACACCACAAATGGCAGTAAATTGTACGTTCTACAGTGGGAACCACAATGAAACTGTTGTTTATCATGTGCATTGAACATCTTCAACGATCCGATCTATATGCTACCTTGCGGTGAGCGACTATGTAGCTGGGTGCTAAGTCTTCACTCCCATCCCGAAGGTTCACGGTTCAAGTTCTATCAGGTATTCTGTCCTCTACTGTCTGTTGGTTTTCATACCTAACATTGCATGTGCAACTATAGCAGTTTCATGTTGATCACGTGAAACCAGAAGTCCATTAACGCGACTGGCACACTGGCAGTCATCTGTGTCAGTTATCCCCAGAAATCCCCATTTGCACATAAAAACTATTGAACTCCTTGTAAACGAGTCACAATATTTTATCAGGATAACAAAATCACTAAGCCAAATCGAGTTGGGGCATGTCGTTTGTTCTTCCCAGTTTCGACAAGTCAGTTAAGCTCATGTCTAGTAAGAGTTAAACCAGTATGATGGTCAGAAAATAGTGAGGAATAAACTAATGCCGATAACGGGTAGGTACATATGTATACATATTTCATGAATGACCTTAGCATAGCGATTAAGTTTTAGTCTAAGCGCATTGCCTTGGCTGAAAACTACACTGACAGCGTTTGAAACATCTCTGTGACCTTAGATAAACATGATGTGTTAGACTACTTATTCATGCCAGTATTTTGGTTTATGTTGGTAATAACGAAATTCTGCTACAGTCACAAAAGTTTCACATGTTCTTGAAAAGATAAAATGCAATGTACTTAGTTCTCGGCGTTTTTATTGTAAGAGAAGAAGAAACGTATTGATTCATCAACCACCTGGAACGGAGTGAAGAAATTTATGCGGCTTTGAAGTAAATAAGAATTATTTAGCAACTATAACAATTACAATGCACTGCTGACGGTATTACCGTAAGTAACACACTTTCAAGGAATGAAGTAACTTTACAAGTTTTGGGTTGCTTTGAAACACTGAATACGCCATGTTTTTTATGTTGTCGAATAACCATGTATTTACGTCATTTTGGTTTGACGGATACGTTTTAGTGACATTTTTACATCGCATTCTCAAGGCTTCTGCGACAGTGGAACCGGGTACGCAAAATCTTCAGTAATTACTTCGAAAAAGGACTAGAGCCATTTTATTGTAACAAATGTTTCTGTAATTTATTTTAGTGAAATGTAGTATGCTTTTTGAACCTTGACTGAGATGTACTCCAGATATCATAGATTAAGGATGAATGAGGGGGCAGCAATAAAATTTCGTGAAAGAATCAGATTTCGACTAACGTATCAGTTTTTCACAGTTCAGAGGATGAGGTTGAAAGCAGGAAAGTGGAAAATTATACGCAAGTCTGTCCCATATCGATTATTTCTAAACTGTACCCTAAACTATGACCAATTATCTCCATTCAAGCTAACAATTGATAAAGCTGTACAGTTTCAGACACATTTAGCAATATATTGACTCACCGTAGAGCCATAGCCATTCCAGCTAAGGTTTCCGCTCGAGTGAAACAACCCACATGAATGACGGAGGAAAGACCTAGAACAAATCATCAAAATTGATAAAAGGATCTGGCTCAAACTGGTGAAGTTTTGGTTAAAATAGTATACTAATAATTGTCTTGATTGTCTCAGGGGGATATCAGAAAATTTTTGTTTGCAACGATTCAGTCAACATAATATAGGTCTTTATCGTTTATCCGTTGCCTCTCGTCACTTACAGTACATATACATTTCCCTATAATTTATGGCATTTATAGCAATAATTTGATAAATTTAATTTTCTAAACTACATAATATTTCTTTGTTTATGCAACTGATGATTTACTCTATGCTCAATGTGTTTGCTCTCAGGTGATTAGTGCCCGTCAGTAGGAATTAAGGCGCTGATTGTACTAAATCATATATGGATAAATATGGTGTCCATAAATCCATATATGGGGGACACGAAAGCAGATTAAGACAATCAAGTGGTTGTCACGATCAAAGTGGATTACGACAAAAAAGCCCATGATAACCTAACAGAGGGAACTTACTGTGAAATTCCTCAAAAGCGACCTCAGGCTCCCAGGAACAAGACCAAAGCCACGACTACGAAGTTACTTCGAGATTTGAAACCAAAGCTGGATAAGTCAGTATGGTTTCAACTGAGTCCTAAAATCAATGGCGCTTCGAGATTTTATAGCTTTTCCAAAATTCATAAATCAGATGTTCCCTTGCGATCGATAATTGATTACACAAACACTTCGAACTATGCCTTTTTCAAAGCATCTTACAAGTATTCGGCATCCACTCCAAAAATGTGATGAACATTACATTAAAAACCCGAGCCATTTTATCCATAAACTTAGACACATTGAACTAGATCAGTCTGAATGTCTTGTAAGTTACGATGTTCTTTCTCTTTTTACCCATATTCTCATTGCTGAATCTCTCAAACTCCTTAAAAGACTCCTATCAAATGATAATCATTTGTGCAATAGAACCACACTTGACGTAGAAGACATCATCGAAGCGACTTCCACATGTCTGAAATCCACCCTCTCCAGGTATGACGGAGCTCTATACCAACGAACCGATGAAGTGGCAATGGGTTCTGCAATCTCACCCATTGTAGCAAACAATTTTACGGAGAACCTTGAAGAGGAAGTACTTAGATCTACGATAACACCACCAAGAATCTGGTGGAGACACGTAGATGATACCTTTGTAGTGATCAGGAAGGATTTTGTGGAACCGTTCACAGAATTCATTAACCATTTTCACGAAAACACTAAGTTTACAATAGAAAAGCAAGAAAAAGCATTAAATTCTTAGACTGTGAAGTAACTTTCAAAGCGTTAGGTAACTCATCAATATCTGTGTACAGAAAGCCAGCCGACACTACTCCTCTGAACACCCCATAAATATGAAGGCTACTGTGGTGACCAACCTCCTAACCAAAGCAAATCAATTCGTCTCAAAGAAATGCACAGAAGTTCAACTAGTCACTAGAGAGTTGGCGGATAACGGATATCCACCAAGTTTTCTACAGAAAATTCAAAAAAGTCTTAAAAGATCTACAGAACCTGGAATCGACCGACTGGATCGCAAATTATATCATACCTTATCCCCGCAATACGTAAGAAGACATCCAACGAATATTGAAGCGATGAATCGCTTCAATATACAGGTCACATTTCGGGCAACCAACACCCTTCGTTCACTCTTGATGTGACCTAAGGACAAACGACTAAAAGCTGATCAATCGAATCTTATTTACAAGATAAGATTTAAACAGTGTACAGCCACGTACGTTGGCCAAACAAGTCGACAACTAAAGACGCGAATAGCCGAACATGGGAGGAAATCCAAACACCCTCCAAGAAATGCATCGGAGCTTAGGACCCTTGAGATGGATTCAGCTATCGCTCTACATTCCATTTCTGGGGGACACTCTATAGACTTCAGAAAACCGATTATTCTGAAATAAGGTTTCATGTCATATAGAGAAGGATTAATTACTGAGTAATTCTTCATCAACAACGTTCCACTTTGCGTCAATCGATCGGACGAGACCCAAATATCAGTTCACTGGCTTGATGCCTATTGCAAAATCAACCACTCTTAACAGTAAGGCTTTGCCTGAAAGAAAAAAGGAGTTGTTTTACCCAACAAATTCAGAATCTGAGAGGAATGAAGGATTTTGTTTGATCAAGGGATTTCTCCGTGTAAATGAGGAGTGAGCTGAAAAGCCAGGAAGTCATGAACAGAAAGTTAGATATGGTTGGGTGTCATCAGCAATGCCAATCCACCGACCTACCCAGGGATTGAGTCCGGAGCCTCACAGGTAGAATGCAAGCATACTAATCATTCGGCCACCGGGCAGATGATCAGACCACTTCCCATTTTGAATAAACACGACATAGCGCAATACATCTTCGTTTATCTCTGCACCGGCCTCCAGGGTTATGAATCAGTTGGAAATTTTCACAACCTGACAAATAAAATCTATTCAGTGCTTCCTAGCTTTTCAGTTCAACTTTCATTTACACGAGGAATTCATCCTATGATAAGATTCAGAATCCCGATGCACATCTAAAGTATATCTGGATGAAAGTAAATTCAATAAGGGAATTCGATGCATTTGAAATTGAATTATTTTACTTTCTGCACACTCAGAGAAAACGGAATCGATTTTTCACCAATAGGTGCAGAAAATGAGTCATTTGCTCGTAGAAACCAACAGCCGACATTTTCAAATTGATTATTCACAGGACAGTAACATACTAAACGCATTAATTAGTGACTGCACCGAGATTCAATGGCCAAACGACTGGTTATCAACTAGCCAAAGTGGTCACAGTTTAATGGGGAGAGGATCCATCGTTGTAACACGAGTGCATAAATGTTTAAAAAATCCAATAAGACTGGAATATCAGGTTTTCTTGCACGTTAGGTAAAATGATTCTTGGTTTACCCGTGATTAGTTAGACAAAATCCTACCAAAACATTACCATCAGGAAATTTCAAGTCAATTCCCATATTGTTTCCGGTGTAGTTGACACGCCATTCCAGAAGGCAAGGAGGATAGAGACGAGGAACTGAAGGTGCCATAACCAAACGATCTTCACATAATGGTACCGAACGCACTGGTCCATGTTGACGCATAAACCTAAAAGTAGTATTTGAAATAAGAACATAAAGTGATAACTGTGCACGAGAGTCTAAGTGATCAGACACCATAACAAAAGTTGCAACTGGAATTACGTATAGCTGGCTAACTAGGAGCAGTACAAAACTTTCAAGGAAATGGACTGTTCTTTGGACCGATGAAGATTTTATTTCCCGACGAGCAAAACGTTGTGAATAACTTGTTAAAGTCCCAGATGGCCCAGAGCGAGAGGAAGAACAAAGACCGTCTGAGTGTCAGACCCGTGTACGTTCGAATGACTGCGTCAAGCACTAAACCACATGACAAGAGCGACAATCGTAACATCATAATAGGTCAAGGTCAACGACACTGTCTCCTCACCTGCTGACCATTGGTACCCCTAACATAAATCATAGTAGGGATTTATTTCATGTATGAGCTATCCATTCATGCAGCGGTATCCAACGTTGTGAATTTATTACATTGTTGAAAGGCATTACCTCCCTTAAAGATTTTAATTGAGATAGAAACGAGTGCCTGCAAACAATGGTACTGAGAAAGAAAATAGAATTACTTCTGTCTGCAGCATAGATCAGTTGTTGGTGTCCAATTTACTTTCATCGATGGTATTGATTATTCAATATGCATGTAAACGGTCCAGGTTCAAACGACATAATTTCAGTGGGACTTTACACAATACGTCAGCTTTCTATCTAAGGGTTTCCCTATATTGTATTCCTGGGCTCGATGTAGCTCAAAAGTGATCAAATCTAAATCAAAATTCCCCAAAAAGGAGTATTGTTCCTCAAATGAATTCAGTGAACTAACGTATGAAAAGCTTTAGTAGTTGATCAGTCTTTTTATTGCCCAGTATTGATTGCTGATTTCGTCAAACATCAGATTTCTTATAGTTGACTTATTGCATATCACTTTAAGAGATTTTCATTTTGAATAAGAAGCCGAAAACTACCTATCGAGTCGACTTTTGAAGATGAAAGAACGATTTTCCACCCCCGACTGCAAAGGGCGATGGCTTCGTCGTTTCACATATCTTTGGCTCTCTCGCCCGTGATCTCACAGAGCTAAATAGCCCTCTGATCCTCTTTGAGATCTAATCGGATAATTTACCGCCGTTTGCACGTCTTGTAATCCATGACAAGAGACTGTCTGATCTTCGGTTCGTAAAGTTTGTGATGCTTCTGCTGTTACGGGTATCCAGCCGGGTGATATTGTGTGGCACTCCAGTTGTGTACAGTCGAAGTTCACCGGACATTCCAAAGACTCTAGGCGATCGGCGCATGTTATCTGGGCAAGCATCATGACACTTGAGGTGCACCCGCCCAATAAAAGTTATAAATCTTATACTGCTTACTCGATAGTAAATAAATACTACAGGGAAATTCAGAATGGGAAATGTTTATACTGTGGTGACACTTAACTGGTCTAAGATGCAGGCATTATTTTTGTAAGTGGTTCAGAAAAACGGATATGACTCTAAATGCCCACAACTGATCACAGTCGTACAATCCGAGCAGGTACTACAATAATGAGCAGGACCGCAATCATCCCACGGCTGGACAGGTGTTACCAAGAAGAGCATCACAAAATTACGAACAAGTGATCAGTGAAGTGGATCAGTTTAAGAGATTCCAAATCGTACTAATAGCGGAGAACTCTCCAATCTAATGGTTAAGAGGATCAGTGGGGTATTTATCTCGGTGATATTCTGGGTGAGAGGGGAAAGACGAAATGAAACGATGAAGCAGTCGCATTGTATATAGGAAGGTTGAAAGCAGATTGTTTCACGTTGCATGAAATTTAAAATATATCATTTGTAGCATACCGAACAACTACTGGTTTTAATGTACCAGACAATCGGCCGCAGGTCAAAACTCCGGCTACATGCATCCATAGGCGACGAAATGCGCGTCGTTGTAAATCGCTCGATCCGATTGGATTTCGATCGCGTATTACACCTTGTACGTTTCCTTCTGCAATCGAGTACGTTTGTGGCGCCCGAGACTGTTGCGTTGTTGTTTCGAAAAGACTCTCTTCGTCTTCCTTGTCCGATTCCTCAGTAAGACCGGCTTGATCTGGCCAATTCACGGACTGACTGAGCAACTGTGCCAAAATCTCTTTGTGCAAAGATTTATTGACCAAACCCTTGGTTGTATATTGCGTTTGTTATAGGGGAAAAACATCGAACAAAAAATAATCATTTTCAATATTTGGCGATTTCCAAGTATAAATCTGATTCTTTCCGGAAGAAGAAATATATTTGAATTCCGATAATAGTGAAATTACTTTATCTCTTTAGTGAATCCTAATTTACGTCACTGTATTCAATAGAAATAATCGTAATAGGTCATCGAGCAACCTTTAACTCCATACCTAATCCTCATTCGAACCAGTAAATTATACATATATATATTACTGAGTTTGGCTTCGACTAGCGCTCATTAGTGATGTGCATCCAACGGTGAATAAGTGACTATTTAATCATTAACTTCGCGAGAAACAGGTATGCTACCACTGTGTCAACCAATTCACGCCGCGGCATACCAGGGGAGAAATGATTATGCAATCGGTTATCGGCATAACCACAGAAGGTGGATATACGCTTTGAGTGCATGGTCACGCTCGCTTTTTTATTCGTCAGTTTTTCATTACTCAAAAACAGACAACCGATCGCGATGTATAAACAGTTGTGGAATTAACCACTGTTACTGTTCCCACCCAATTAACGTCGTGGGGGAATCAAAAGATCAAAACAAAGATTTAAGTTGGCTGTTGATTCCATTCAGCCCTGCGCCCATCACATTGTTTTGACCCATTAAGCTCAAATCATTGTGAGCCAGCTACATGTGTGCTCCAGCGGATAATTTATCAACGTTTACGTCACATTAGATTTAATTGTTCGAATCAAATTTGTTTCATCGCGTTTAAGGTTACCTACGTCCCCGGAATCTTTAATAAATTTGAAACTTTATGCGTTATCGCACAAGAGTGGCATTTTTTATCAGTTCAGTCGTCAAGACCGTTTAGGTCAGATTCCTTCCGTGAATACCGAGTAGGCTGGAAAGTGACTTTACGTAACACAAAACCTCAGAAAATATCCCCGCTATATGCTTATCAAAAGTACGATCACTATTTGAAAAAACGAGCGACTTCACGAAATTGATAAGAATGAAAAAGTACCAGGCAATGTAGATAATTATGCTGCAAGAAACTTGGTTGCGTTCTGACATCAAAGACTCTTTGGTTGAGCTGGATTTCTCTGATATGCATCGGTTGGATAGAAACTGTTTATTGCGAAATCCGGGCGGTGGTCTAACAAACTATACCAAGTCGTCTTGATGTAAGTCTTCGAAGGTTATCTTCACCTACAAGTAGGATATATCTCATGTATTTCGATTGAATATAAGCCCCGTTTTCTCAGTAAACATCATTCCATCGTAGCATCAAACATTTACATCGCGCCCTCTGGTACAACTTTTGATTTACAGAATTTTGCTGATTTATTATTATCCGAAGTTTCTAACTACACGCAATGCTCTTTTTATCGCTAGTGGTGATTTTACCATGCAGATATTCATTTCTTGACTTGTCTCTCTCTTAAAACTCTTGTAAATTTCCCCACAAGAGGAAACGCACAGCTTGACCTAATGTTTTCGAACGATGCCGACCTGTTTGCTGTGCGAAGAGGAGCCCCTTTGGAAAAATCCAATCATTGTATCATAAATGCTACTCAAAGAAACATCATGGTACAATGACACGTACATCCAGTCGGACGATATTTTATAGGCTATGCGGCCTGGCCCACTTGGCAGTACTGAGAGAAATAGTCTCTCATACAAATTTTGACCAGTTCTCAGCCAAGTGTGAACCCCTCACTAGCTATTTGAGATTCTGCTTGGACTTCTGCTGCCCCATGGCCCCTATGTACATCAGCCCCGACAGATTTTCTTCCCCCACTTTGAAGACTCTTGGAAGAACCCAAGAATGGGCATATAAAAATCGTGACCAAGGTTTAGTTAAACAAACGTCACTGCTGATCTAGACTGATATCCAAAATCTTGACAAACTACACTGGAACCCTACTTGGTGATCGGAATTGCAAGCAAATGTGGAGTGCTATGAAAAAACTCTGTGGAACAAAAGTCGGACTATACAGATTCCAATCCAGTGCAGCTCAACTCAACTGCATGTTTTCCACATCAACTCCAACTGAAGCATCAAATTCATATTTCCAATCAAATGACCATCGTTTCAATTATAATCAGGTGCAGGCACAGCTGATGTGCCTCACAGCATCAAAAGCTTCTGGTCCAGTCGTCCTCAAGGAATGCGCGTATTATCTGGCGGAGCCACTTGCCGGTATTTTCAACCGTTGCTTGGAGGAACAAAAAACTGTCGACTGTTGAAGACCTGTACGCATCACACCAGTCCCAAAAAATGAAGCTGGGAAATTACGACCATCCACCTGCACTTCTGTTTTACTAAAGGTTTTCGAAAAGTTCATACCTAGTAATATTAGTTCTAACACTAGGTAGTTAGATCACAGTCAGTTCGCTTATCGCAAACAACGTTCTACCCTCGACGTCCTTGCGCATTTGACAAACTCAGTTTTGAGATCCCTAGACATGAACGACACAAAAATTTCGTATGTTTCCTTGACTATAACTGTTAACTGTGTCAACAGGGACAGGCATTTGTCTCTACTCCAAGGTGCTGGACTGTCCCATACTGCCCTGTCTCTACTCCAAGATTATTTTACTGGTAGAACACTTCACGAAATTTCTTGGAGAGACTTCTAACTCGCTACCGGTCAATTCATGAGTGCTCCAGGGAGCAACTCTCTCTTTTCCTTTTCTCTTTCTCTATTCGAGACCCACCCATTAGCCCAGATGATCTTCTTATCACGTATGCTGACGATGTGACCATAGGTTCCAAATTCCAAACTGATTTCCGCTTCTCACATCTTCAAGCCAATTTATTTGCCCTAAGCTTATGGTCTTCGTATTCCAAGTTACCTCTCAATGCCAATTGAGAACGGCTACATTCTTTTGAAAGGAATTGTTCTGTACTCTATGTTGACAACCAACCTGTTCCCTAGTACGTTCTCTTCAGTACCTCGGTGTTACTATCTGCCAGATCTCACCTGGATTTCAAATTTAAACTCTACTTTCGACAATTGTATTTCTTTATTTCCCGCTTGCGATCTTTAAACGTTCCACTGTATTTACTTACCGATTTGTATATTCTTGTGTTGTTGCTCATCTTCCCTACTGCTCCCTAGTTTTATTTGCCGGTCTTAGAGTTAATGATTACACAGTTCTATTCCGATTTATTAAAACTACTTCGCACACAAGCGGTATTCCCTATTTGTAAGTGCTTAACTTTATCGCTCACATACATTTTACCTCTTGCGAAAACTTCTGTAACAACATTTCATCAGAAATCACTCACTCATTGCATACAGAACTTAAACAATGCGTATCCACTTCTGTAACCAGGTGTAGTTATAAACTTGTGTATACTCGTACCACTGCCTACCGCTTGTCCATTATCCCCTATCTTTCGATATTTCTGGCACAAAATGCATCCGTTATCGAAAACGTTTTGTATTTCCTACGCAAATGATATCCATTTTCAAACTTTTACGCCACATTCCCCTTTAATTTGCGATACTGTATTTTACTTTTTCTTTGTGACTGTATTTGATGAATAATGATCCTGCTGTGTATGAAGCTGGCAAAAATTAAAAAAAACTTAAGTTTCTTTTTAATAGGCCCCCTAACATACTTTCGATTGATTCCGGACTCTGATATTAAAATAAATAATATTTTACTGGAACATACAGATATAGCAAGATTGTCCAACACATTTTATAAATGAACGCGTAAACATTCATTAGGATTTGAAATTTCTCGCATGAAATACGTAGATAAAAAGAAATTAACTGGTACTCACCAACTGATACAAATAGCTACCAATAAGGAACTGATCCATGATTGGTTGTTCCGGTAAATGAATCAATCGCAATACCTGTCAAATTAGTTTTTGAAATAAATAGAGGGATGTGTTGATTCGTGTCGATCAAAAATGGTCAATATCAGGCGTAAGACAATCTCAATTATAAAATTCAATATATTTTGCCATATGATAAATAAATGGGGACTGAACATAAAATTCTTCTTCCTATCACAGCCCGTGAAAATTATTGCGTCATCTGCAAACATGGTTTAATTTCCCAATGACACATAAATCACAACGATTACGGGATCTTAAAAGGATGAACTTGTTTAAACTGTGATGGTTCACCGGCAAATAGTTCAACGGTAAGTTTCGGTAACACAGTTACTAAGTTATGCATTCGGTGGTCTTTCTTACACCTCCGGAAGCCTAAGTATGGTAGAGGGTGGGTGTCTCTGGTTGTGGGTTATCACCCCTTACGAAATGCTCCCGTACGACCGAGTGTCTCAGCTTCTGCTGAGAAAGCCCCACTCAGTGTCTTCCCTTTACGGAGGTATTTACCCACCAAAGTGGGGAGACGAAAAGCCCAAATCGGGATCTGTAACCGGGTCGGTGAACTACCGACACATCACTTAGGGGAGTTGGTTATAAAAACCTCTGATCAAAAAGCCAACCAAGACTAACCACGCACACGCCTTCCTGGTCGTGGTAGTAGTCACCGATTCGATTGCGGTTCGAGGTGTGTTGAGCACCTTGGAAGTTTGACCGCATCTAATGAGTGCATAATCCAATGAACTGGACACCGGCCCCCAATGGATTGCAGTATTCACATACCTCCCTTCTGACTTGCTGGTTAGGCTTTGGCTAGACGAAGGCTCCGGTTGTGAACTTCCTAATAATATTCACCAGTTTGGCCTGGGCAACCTAGCAGTATTATGCCTTGGAGCAGATCATGGTCCTTTTTCTTTTTATAAAGCCTATTGTACCATGACTTGTTTCGCAAAGTCTGAACATAGGTGTCAAAATATATAAATGTATGTATTCTTTCTTACATTAAAATCTTCGTACTTAGAACTATCTCGTGTAGTCCTCAAGTCCTATGAGCTTTATATTAATCTATTGTTTTTTCGCACACATTTCTGAATCTGTCGACTATTAATTAGATGGAAATTGAACTCACAAGTTTGGAGGCTGCTGCAGCTGCCGCCTGCTGACCTTCAGTTGCCTGTGTCAGTAGGATGGGTCGTTTTCGGGGAGCTAATCGAAAACCAAGTTGACTCTGAGTTGTCACGCGGAGAAGAGAAGGTGAAAGTGAGGAAATTATGATGATGTGAAGCAAAACCGAGAATAATTTGAGATATAATTAAGAACTAAATATATATAATACTGGTTTTTATTTTACGATAATACATTGTAGATAAAATGTTGTTACCACAATGATTTTTCTCCGTATTTGCAGGTCAACCACTACATAAATGTTTTCGGAAAAGCAGACTGGATACAATGTCATTTCTGATATGAAATGCATGTATGGTGTATAACGTAACCTGATTCGAACAAAAATAGCAGAGCTTTATAACAACTACAGCGCGTTATTTTTTCCCCTTTCACTTACCCTTCCTTTTATCGAATATACAAAGATACAATTTTCAGGAAGACGGAGGCGTCAATGAAAGGACTGCTTTACAAAAAATAATGGGGATTTGAACATACGGAGTGACGTTAACATCGGGCCACCATCACTTTTGATTACCTGCCCAAAGTCACTTCTATCTCCAGTATGGATACATTGAAAAGATGCAGTGCTGATAAGTCCCGAAATACAACAGATGACTGCCCGCTGCTCATTTCCGGTCCTCACAGCAAAGCTTTTTAGAGAAGCTGAACAGTTGCATCAATTATTTTATCTAGAGTAAAACGATCAACATGACTGGATTCTTCAGTTTCTGCTTGCTTTTGTCTGCCTTAATGCAGCTGAAAGTAACCTGCGTCCATAAAACCTATTCAAATAAAATTAGATAAGGACGGCTTTTGAGAATCCACTGAATTTCATTTCATTCATTTCCTTTTATCCATCGAGGTTTCTTGTGGAAATCGGTGATAAGTACAGTCATGCATGATTCAGATCCAAGGTTGATGTACAATCCCAACTTAACTCACCCTGACCAGATAGGACAATGGTTGAGCATCCCAAACCGGTCGACCATATGTCTGCCATCCACTTGCAGGGTGATTGGATAACAATCGCCGAATACTTCCACGCGGTTTAGTCACCTTATGTGAATTCAGCCAAGATAACTGATCTAAAATCGGAAAATTAAAATAATTAAAAAACAAAGAATTTTCTCCGAAATGACAAAAATTAATGGATTTGCTGTTGTGTCACCAGCTTATAAATACACGATTTTTTGTCCTATTTCCGTAATTATTTATCAAAATATACTTTATTAGTGATGCTTGAAAGTTTAGTCATCATAAACGTCCGTGTATGACTGAAGTCTATTTGTTTGATGCAGTGGTACATCTAGAACTATGTGAAGAGTATTTGAAAAACAGTTTGGAATCGGGGAAATTGTAAATAATAAAATTTCGGTACTGTTTCAATGATCTTTCTGAAGCAGCAAAAGGCTTTCTGAATTCCCACGTTTAATTTATTGTAGTCCATTTTTGTCAAGTGTCTGTTTCATCTCAGAAGAAGCTTTATTTCCAAGAGCAATATTTCAACAATAACTATTGCGTATTGTGTTTCTCAACTGTTCAGACAGTCATTATTTGACGGCATTGCTTTTATCTTCCGAATTTGTTTTATAGAATTCCGGTTTTGATCACGTTATTGTTCTCGATAGGCTTTTATTAGTGAAAATATCGTAAGTTGGTACTAAATGGTGAATGGCTTCCCACCATACTATCGATAAGATGACATCCATGCATTGCGAAACAACAATTCCCGGGCAACCGAGCTTATAGTATTTATTACCGTATTTCATTAGTTACAAAACCTAGTCTATCTGCTCATACACCATACCATGAATTGAAAGCTCCGAATAATCATAAAACGGTAACTAGAATGTAAACGGCTGATATTTTATTCCAATATTAGTCTTGTCATCAAGCGTTGTTGGTGACTATAAGTAATAGATTGATAGGTAAGTAGGAGAAACAAATTGCTATCATTTTTCACTAAAAAAATATCTAATGGAAACAACATACCCATTGGTTTCTCCTCCAAAATGAAAGCCAGATCACTTGGAATTTCCAAACGAGATATTTCCAGGTCGGACAATGATTCTACAGGCTCTTCAGGTTCAACCTCCTGGATAAGTAGGTGGTTAGGTGAAAGAAAATATTTATTATAAAGCTGTCATAAAAACTCCGTAGAGAAGTGAACGAAATGAAACGAAAGAAATTTGGGGATTCAGGCTTACTCGAAACGTCCATAATAAATCGCGCGTACTCCAATCTTGGACTGGGCGCATTGACAAAGCATCCGCTTGTTTAGTCAATGTTCCAATTTGTACAATCTACGCTGTTCACTTGGTGATATGATCTTTGACATCGGAATTCTACTGCCTCATCTTGAAATGAAGCCACATGATTGGTTACACTGGGATCCAGATAACAGAGATTTAAGTCCAACATCAGGTATAGATGACAAGCTTCACATTTTTATGTGACCATGAGTAGAGATGGCTTAAGTTAGGCTTGATAAACTATACCGTGCACTACGCATAATACATTCTGAAACAGGAGATGACATTCAAAAACAATTATTCCTTTGTACTTCGTTTTATCTGACATTATATTATCCCATTTTACCTAAGGTATTTAAACAACTACGTTGTATATACATTTTGCCATTTTCTCGCGAAATACCTTGTCCACACTGATGGATAGACCGGTAAACTAGACTGTTAACAAATACCTCTGGGGCACATTGTTTATTCCACTGGTCCAAGCAGGTAGAAAAACATTTACTTCTCTGCGTTTTGAAACAGTTGCAAATGTGTTAGTTTGCTTGTGAACAATACCTAATTCCAATAACGGTTTGGGTGGTTAACATAAGTGATATACTTTTGGTGAGCTTAAGTGATTGGTCAGATGCACCACACACGGATATTCATAGTATCCTTCTACTCTGTTCAACCACAAAGTTCCCGTAATGTGTATCGTAAGGGAGTTGCAAACATACGCATTACTGTTATCAACCAGTTAGTCACTTGTGTTTAAACCAGCCTGGCTCTGTTAATGTCAGCGTTGCGAAATATCAAATTCAAATGTTGCACTGGTGTTAAGCGCGAAAGTATCAGAAGTTTGGCGGGACTTTGGCCAAACACCTAGTAAAATTATTGGCTGCTCATCCCAAATCTGAGCAATTAATACAAAAATAGTCTACCCGAGTGGTCAGTGCGAACCAAATCAGAGGCAGAGAAAACGAAGTATAATAAAGTAAACGATGAATTCCGACTTACCACAGGAGCCCGCTGCGCAGCGATGCGAGAAATAGCGGGGTTTTGCCGTCTGAGAGTAAGAAACAGCAATAACATGAATGGAATAGAAAAGCAGCTTCTGGTTAAATATAACCATTTACAAACAACAATTCTCAAATTAGCGTTTATTACCGGAGGTAAATTTGATAAACCTGAAGACGAGAATAGAATTGTTGGGTGTGTCAGGTTATACTACTTGTAAATGTTGAACATGCACAGATTAGTTGGCTAGCCGGTTGCTTGGTTGATTGAAGAAGCCGTGAAAAAGCTGAGTTGGTTTGTCATCGGGAACTAAAGCAACTGGACTTTTGCGAGAAAGGAAAGGAGTGAAATACCAATTAGTAGATCTTTAAAAATGTGCACCTAATAACCATACGGAAGGAAGATAGTAGCAATAGCAATGGTTGCTTCTGAGGGCAGCAGCGGCAACAGCAGTAGCAGAAACAACAACAGCAGCAGCAACACACGCACTGTACGAAGACAGGTGGGAAACAGGGTGGTGGATTGAGTTACAAAACAGTGGCCAGTGTGAGTGAGAATTGTGAATGGGAGAGGGAAGAACATTAGAACACAAATCAAACACTATCTGTACTCTTGTGCACATACCCATCTGAACTGTCGAGAACGGACGAAACAGATAGCATTTCCTGATCACGCCATCACCAACGCACAACAGACTTTTAGAATTATCCTATTATAGTGGCTAGTTGCTGCAGAATAGCCAGTGTATTTCTATTAAGTAAATGTTTTTGCTGGGATGTACCTATTCCATTTGCGAAACTGACAACAGTAAAATAAGATGAGAATTCCTCCAATGATTAGTTAATTGAAATCTAGATAAGCTAGTTTTTCATTAAGCTACTGACCTATCACAACCGCTATTTTTGGATTTTTCCAGCATTTGCCGGGTAGTATTTTACCAAGGAAAACAGCGTTGATTGAGCAATAAAAAGCTTCTCATCACGTGGTGTGGCAAACCCGTATATTCTTACTAAGCGGTTTGAAAGACTGATACGTTTGAATAGACAACAATATGGAATGTGAATAATTATTGACTATATCCTATTAATAGCCTTATTTTCTTCGCTGCCAGCCGTTATGCCCGATAAATGTTGTTCTCGATAACAGTGTTTTCATAAATGCGTTAATCATATATCAACCACAGGAGATTCGTTTTCTTGTTGGGTTCATTAACAGTGAGAAAATTGAATTAGTAATCCCTAGTTGGAACAACACTTAAATGATACTGATTTCTTCTTCAAAATGCCGACTGGATTCTATAATCTGCTTACGGCGCCTTTATAAAGAAGGTTAGTGAATGACGTGAAGAGTGGCCATCTATATTTTACATTGCACAAATTTTGTAGTCATGACACGTTTAGCTCAGTGGTTAAACGCTTTATGACAACCGTTTTGCCATGCCCGAGGAAGTACAGACAGGATAATTAGGAGAAAACAAAGGAACTAATTGTTTTCTAGTCCATACTATTCTTTATTTGAAGAAATGCTCGATGTTCCCGTTTCCTGTTAATGTATGCTTTGTAGAATTGATGATTTTTCGAACAGATAACCGCTCATCCATGCTAACGTGACCATGAAATATTTCCCAATTTGATGAAAAACTGTGTCGGTCATAGCAGTCTCAAATACATGATGGTATAAGTTGTTGGGGTTCGAAGGTGTCCCGACTTTCTTAACGAAACCATCGACCAAACTCAGATAGATAGCATCTTGGGTTCTCTCTTGCATGATTAGATATAAATCACTAAATCTATATACAATTTTAGTGACGCTTATCAGCCCCTTTAATTTTTACGCTAAGCACCAAATCTGATTAGCTGATGTATTTGCCATTTTGGAAATATGAGCTACATAAGTTCCAAACGCAGTATGTCGTTAAAGGTATTAGATTGATCAGAAACGCAATCGCCATTCACGGTCAATGTGTCATTCACCCACGACCAGACTTGCGCGTAAGCAATCTTTTTCCGTGTTACATAGCATCAGCACGGCATACACATCGAGTCTTCTAGGATTCGAATCTGGGGGCATGATATGATTATCCGGCACGCAACGCTAACCACCAAAGTTATCCGGCCTTACTTTTAGCAGTATGCCATTCATCAGTATCATATTGTGGCTAAACACGTCGAACGCTACTAGAGTGTTTCGACTCTCTGATGCAAAATTCACTGTTGTAAAACCCT